CACCGTGACCGGGGGCCCCTGCGGCAATGGGTAACCAGGCGGCAATGGGAAATCAGTCAGAAAACCGGAGCGGGGCCCCTACGGCAATGGGAAACCAGTCAGAAACCGGAGCCGCCCCACAATGTCGCACACTGATCGAAAATTGTGCTACTCCAAGCCATCTGGGCCACGGCCCCGGTCTCTGCCAGTTATCGTTTCTGCTCTCCCCCACTCCGAGGTCCCACAAGCAGAGAGGATCAGATTGAAAAATCTGAATCTGGACGTTGCTGGTGGACCTAGTACAGAAATTCGAGATCGATCTATTTTTCTGCATCTCTGATCAAAACACTTCCAAATTTGAGAGTTTTAATCCAGTCCGCTTTGGCACTACAAGGACTTTTTTCTTTTTGTTTTGGGTACTACTGGGACTTCGCCCCCGACTCTCGAACCTTTTCTTCCATTGCTTTTTCGTCCTTTTCCTTTGTTTTCTTTTCCTGACTTTTCCTCTCTTGTTGTGACGAACCACTTTCTGTGTCGCGCGATTTTCTGCGCGACGACAATGAGGGGTCCTAAGATGGGAAGGGTGGGCCAATTACGGGAGATCGGGATCGAAGGGAAATTGCGTCGGTGTCCTCGCTTCTTCGTCTTTTTGCGTCACTTCTTTTCGGATGGCTGGGTTCAGGGCCGGGCAAGTCTCAAGATGGCTGATTGAGTGGCTGTCGCCCCGACAAAGGCGCGATTAATAATGGTTGACGTCGTTCCTTTCTTGTTCTGTTGTCAGGTTTTCGGCGCGGAGATCGCGCAGGAAGTTTTCCTTCTTTTTGAATTTCTTTTTTTGAATCTTGTCGAGCCCTCGATGGCTCTCGGAATTTCGAACTTTCTTTTCAGAATTTGCGTTTTATTGAAGTTCTTTTTGCATTAGCTAGGAATTTAGGAATTTAGGAATTCAAGATTTTTTTTGCTGCGCGTTGCCTTTTTGCTCGCGCCGAGTCGCGCGCTTCTTTTTGCGGCTGCAACGGAGCTCTAAATAGTCGGTGCCCTTAATCTTGCGTGTAACCGTAATTTTGGGCAGGGCGCCCTTGTAACTGTATCTTTCTTCTTGAGCTTCATCTTTCCCTCCCTCTCTCTCCTTTGTTGTGTCTATCTGGCCTGCGGGGTGCATGATCAGATCGATGCGTGGAGAGTGGCTACGTCCCCACGCCGCGGTCTGGCCCTGCAGAACGTAGGCAATCCCTTCCCTTCTCTCTTCCTAAGTCCTTGCAATTCCTTGTTCTTCGCGCATGCATGCACGCTATAAATTCCGGCTGAGCGATTAGATAGCTCTCTTAACCAGTTGCTGGAAGCTCGGGGTAGCGCGATCAGTGAGGGTCACCTCACGAGCGAAGTAAGAGATAAGTTGAAGTGGGAGTCGGGCGACCCGACGAGCTGGTGCCGAATGCGCGGGGTTGACGCATGGGGCTACGACGGACTGTAGCGCACGGGCGAACCTGACGGGTGCAGGAGGACTAAGCGGGGTGACGACTTCGCGGGTTGGTGCGTGACGATGGACTGTCCGAATCGGAGAGAGAGAGAGAGAGAGAGAGAGAGAGAGAGAGAGAGAGAGAGAGAGAGAGAGAGAGAGAGAGAGAGAGAGAGAGAGAGTTGAGGTTAATGGACGTGAATTTGCAATTTTCTTTGTCTTTTCCTTCAGTTTTGTATGTAAGTTTTGATTTCGGCTCGAGCGATTCGCTCTCATTTCCCTTCGGCATTTTTGTTTCAATATTGGTCCTTATATGATGTCTCATTCCGTCTCGGTCCTCCCTCTTTTATGTGTATAGGATGAACGAGTTCGGATGGAATGATATGTTTGTCGTTTTTGCCTAACCATCATCATTGCTTGTCACTTTGATACGCCGTTGTTATGATATGAGTTCTGATGTTGTTGCGATGTCTAATGTGTGCGATGACGCCTTGCATGTTCGGGAATGATTGTTGTGGGATCACCGAATGATGGGATGATTGGATAGTTGTACATGACCAGTGGCGGGTTTGCACGCAGAATTAACTCTCATTTTTGCAACAGCCAACAGGTCCGGGTACGAGCGAACACCTCATGGGGATACGTGTAAGCGCGCTATGATTTGCACAGCCTACACGATCGATTAACGAACCTGGCACCTTCAATATCGAGATAGGCGAGGAATTTTCCTTCTCTCAAGCACCTGAGTTGGCAGGAATTTTCGACACCGTATCTGGAAATCCCCCTGTCAGTCAGATGAGTGCGGGAGGCTTCCACAACGCCGCAATAACAAGATGACATACACACGGGACTCAGGGTACTTCGAGCACTAGGGGGGAGAGTATCTTAGGCGGAGATATCCAGAATTTCCCTGCCTAACCGAGAACCGGTTGTGCCCCAGGGAGTTTCACTGTGCCGTAACCAGCGATCCGAGGTGCCCCGATTACCCAACTACGTATAACACGCAATACTTCATATCCCCCGGCTTCGTCGTTATTGCTGTCAATTTCCCTCCCTTCCCTCTCCTCCTCCCGTACCACCAACTCACGGTGGTGCCGTGGAATTCCATCGCCCCGTATTGGCCCCACACGTTGTGCAAAAACTACCGACGACGAGGCCAACGCCGAACCCCTAAAACTATTGAGCCTGACCATAGCGCGAGACGCCAAACGCCACGCGTCTGCACCCGGAGGTCTGACTCATAGGAATCGCAACCCTCACGAACATGCCTCTCCCGAACCGCCGTCACCAAAACAGACGGATCGAACGGCTCTGGATGCACCGCGCATGTCATCGGCCTTATGTTGCACGACATCGACCGCCATCAGACCAAACGTAAGTCGTCCCTTAGTCTTATTGCACCTATGCCCCTGAAACTTTGCCACACGAGATCTCAGTTCTGATCTGGGACTCCACCCCCACTTTCCCGAAAAATCCTTGGCACACCCCTTTTCGCACTTCCAGGCCCACATCCCACTCCGATCAGGAAGTCGCGTCGGGCGTGAGGTTAGTATCGGAGCCCGACACGTGGCAAGGTTACAGGATTCGTAGGACGATAAGCCAAGCGATCTGGCTAACAGGGGACGACCTCGACCACGGAACGCGCATCGACGCGACCCCGTCGTTACCAGAAGCCGGTCCGCGGCTCGGGTTCCTATGGCGCCAGTATATCTGTTTGATCCTGCACATCACCTTGCTGGAGCATGGCTGGCCACGCTTCGAGCTCAACAGTACGATGACAACAAAGCACAGGTAAACATTCCCGCACGATTGAGAGGAGATGCTCATCATTGGTTTAGCACCTATGTATGGGTCGATCTCCCAACATTCGAGCGGGATTTCCTGAACCGATTTGATTACATCCATCCCAAACAGGCCCTTTTCATGATTAAAGATCGAGTTCAAAAACCCCTCGAATCCGTCACCGAGTACCGAAACCGATTCTATCGGATGTTTGCGAAAACCGAACGGGGCAAATAGGTAGGAAGAGATTTGTTTATCGATGGGCTTCGCAGCAGGACGATAAGGGCGAAACTGTGAAAACAGTTTTCCCCCATCAATCACACGCTGCAACAGATCATGGCAGCCGCAGAAGAAATGAAACGAAAGTTTGCCGCAAGTTTCCTAGAAGGAGAAGACTGTCCTTAGGAGGGAGACTCGTCCGAACTAGCACGGGCCAAAGCTGAGCTGGCTGCGTTACAAAACAAGTTCGAAAACAGGGGGGTTGTGTCTGGCCCGGTCACATATCTGGAACATATTACCCCCAAACGTCCAACCCCGAGTGTGATTACAAGCATGCTCGTCCCCGTGATGACCGCGTCCCCACCTCCGATCGAAAGTCCCGCACGACCGAACGAGTCTTCCGCCTTACTGGAACTAACCAAAACCCTGGTCAATCTGATTCAGGAAAGCAATAAGGAACAGTGGGAACATAATGCTCGAATAGAGGCGATGATGAGATCGATGCGACCACTAGCGGTGCGTGTCGCCCCGATTCAACACGGGCTGTTTTCGGCATCCCCTCCCACAGGGATCCGTGACAATCTGAACGTCTGTTACACGTGTCATCAACCAGGGCACATAGTAGCCCGAGATTGCCCCCATCGACCTCCGCAACCGTGAGTCGGAGCCGCACCGGTAGCAGCAGCCCCTGTGTAACACCCCGTACGTACGGCCGTATGTACAGCCCCGTACGGGGGGGAAAAAAAAAAAAAAAAAAAAAAAAAAAACGTTTTTTTTTTTATATCTCAAATTTGGTAACGAATTTCAGTATGACCCTCAGGCAAAAGTGTTTCAGTTTATTTTTCCGCATAACATTTTTTTTTTCAGATTTTTTTCAATTTTTTTTTTTTCGTACGTACGGCCGTACGTACGGACGGACGGCCCGTATTCGTACAGGGGTCTACACAGAGCAGCCCCGATCGCTAACGGACTTGGACGGGTAGGGGCGCTAATGGAAGAAATGGAAGGGGGTGGAAGCACCTTAGCTACGACGGAGGAAGCTGCAGAACTCGTTCCGTTGGATCAATATGTAACGCTTGGTTACCCGGGATTAGGCATGATCGGAACAATTAGACCCGCACCCGAACAGAGGGAAGTGACGGAGTGGACACCGTCCCCAGGAGAAATGGAGTCGGGAGGACCTACTTTCGTCACTGGGGAGATCGATGTTTTGAACATCGTTCGAGCCTTGGATCATCGGATTCCTCTTCCGATCAGTCACCTACTCTCGATATCAGAACAAGCCAACGAACGGATGTTGCAACACTGCAAGGCGAATCGGAAACGATTTGCCTTCGCCCAGACAACGAACACGAAAGCAAAAAGTCCAACACAAGATGAAAACGTTGTTGGTACTTCACACCCAATACGGTTAGGATTAATACAGAAGGACGATCACTTCTTACGGATTAAACCAATCCCATGGAAATCCGCAGAGTGCGATATCGAAGTATGGGGAATCCCGTACAATGCCATTATCAATTCTGGAGCCGCTGTGTTGGTTATCTCATTACGGGTAGTTGAAAGGGCAGGAAGAAGGAACGATCTGATTATGCTTGCGGAAAAAAATCGGCTCGTTACAACAGATGAAGAGAAAATTAAAATGGTAGGGCGGATGACCAATGTGGCCTTTCGATTGAGGAAGGTGCATGCGCTGGGAGATGTCGTAGTCTTAGACGTTAACACTTATGACGTCTTTTTTGGCCTTCCCGCTCTTGTGGCCTTGCGAGCCAATCTGGACTTCGAGAGGCGATCGATTGTCCTCCGAAATACAGGAGGAAAGCCCTATGTTGTACCTATGAGGATGACCCTTCGTACCACCACTAACGTGACCCCGCGAGTTTCTCCAATAATGGCAGGAACTCTTCGCGAGATCATTTGGGACAACTCCGCAAACGGTAAGCAATTGTCAAAGGATGCAAACAGCAGTGACGAGGACGATCCAGCAATTCTGGAACTGGCGCGACAGCGTATCTATTACCCTATGCAACGAGCAAACGCGAGACCATTGAGCTTGACTGATCGAAATCTACGAAGGACACAAGCGATGATTTTGGGCGAACCTCTCGTGCAGATATCAAGGATGGCCGATTCTTTGGAACCCCCTCGAACCCTGTACGAAGGTACATCCCCTCTCCTCGCAAGATATAACGACAAAAGACACTTCTGAGACATCACAAATCTCCCCCGATCTCTTTTGTCGCCCGCAAAAGAGATACGATTGTTGCGCTTAGGGGCGGAGGCCAACTCTTTGGAACTCCCTGAGCGCCTCGAAACTGGACTCGGAATCCGAATCGCAACGAAGCCCGTGCCATGGCAGGATATTCACGACGGAGTAACGCCGGAAGAACACGTGGCCATTCAGGAACAGGATGCGCAAATGATGGCTACAGTATTTTCCTAGCGGTCGGACAATTCCTTCATTTTCGCACCCCCGCCTGAACCCACCAAACGGGTAAGCACGAAATAGATCAACGTACGAATATGGGACCAGTTATACGAGGTACACGTGCCCCATTGCGTACCCGATGAAATTCATCACCTCATCGTGGATATTCTGAAAGAATACCAGGGTGCGATTAGCATGACAGACACAGATATCGGACTGTCGCTCGTCATACAGCACGAAATTCAGACCGGGAACCATCCCCCGATCCACTGTAAGCCCTACAGATACTCGCTGGTAGAACGAAGGACGGCTCTTCAACGGATCCGGGAGTTCGAAGCCAATGGATGGATCGAACTTGCTACTGGGCCATGGTCATTTCCAATAGTACTAGTGCCAAAGAAGAACGGGTCGATTCACATATGCATCGATTATCGCAAGCTGAATGATATCACACGATCAAAGATGTGTATCCCCTTCCCCGGATTGATGATTTGTTGGATGCGATTGGATGTGCTAATTATTTTAGTAAATTTGATATTCGCCATGGTTTTCATCATATTCTGGTTAAGGAGGAGGATCGACCGAAAACGGCATTCGTATTGTTTGAAGGCACGTGGCAGTGGGTTCGGTGTCCGATGGGGATTTGCAATGCGCCTACCACGTTTCAGCGTGCTATAAATGTGACGTTTCAAATTTCGCCAACAAGACGCGACTGACTCAGGGGATGATTAACTTTTGCGTCATCGTGTACATGGACGACATCCTGGTCTATTCGGAGACTTATCACGGGCACGCACAACGCATCGAGTGGACGCTGGGAGCTCTAAGAGATGCTGGGTTCAAGATCGCGCTCGAGAAGAGCGAGTTTTTCCTCTCGGAAATCTCGTTCTTGGGTGACGTGGTGACACGTGGAGGACTGCGGCCAGATTCAAGAAAGGTCGCGACGGTGAAAGACGCCCCTGTTCCTACGTCACTAACGCAGGTTCGAGCTTTCTTGGGACTAACATCGTACTACCATCGCTTCATCAAGGGCTTCGCCGCGATAGTGCGGCCTCTGACGAACCTACTACGAAAAGACCAGCCCCTCAGTTGGGACGCAGAGTGTGAACAGGCCTTCACCACCCTCAAGGACGTTCTGGCGATAACACCTATTTTGATCCGGCCGAACTCTACGAAGCAGTTCATTCTTATTACGGACTGGCAGCCAGAGGCGATGTCCGCTATTCTAGCGCAGAAGGGGAACGACGGCCGAGAACACGTCATCGAGTACGCGTCTCGTACAGTGTCAGACGAGCGAAGGAACAATTCAGCCCCGCAGGATGAATGCTATGCCGTGGTCTGGGGGATTCAGCACTTCCATCCGTATCTCTACGGACAGGATCATGAGCCATTGTTGGCTCTCAAGAGGCTCACTAATTACACGGGTATGATTGGACGGTGGGCGGTGCGCCTACAGGAGTACGATTGCGACATCATCCATCGAAAGACAGAGAGGCACGACATTGCGGACGGACTGACACGTCTGCACCAACCGGCTAGGGTACCTAAAGACGAAGAAATCATTCCGTGGAAGGAACCGGAATCGGCGAACGGGCCCAAGTACGGACAAGTGGTGGTTCTCCCACGTGGTAAGAAGCAGGCACGCGACAACGGGGGTAACCTTGCAACTCCTCTCTTTCCCCTCTCAACTTCATCTCTTCCCTCTCTTCCCGATAAATTTTGCTATTTTTGCGAAGCGATTTCACGTGTTTATTCCGTTCCTATGCATCCTACAGGGGAAGGATACGTCGAGTGGGTAGATTGTCGGCAGTGTGTCACGCGAGCCCATGGCTCCTGCATTCAGTATAGAAATGGCGATAAGCCTTGGCTGCGCCCCTTGTGTCGAGTCGATAAGATCTCGACTGAGGCCCGATTTCTCGACGCCACGTCAGAAGGGTTAGAAAAGATCTAAAAATTTAGAAGGGCCGAGGTATGGACGGATATTGCTTTGATTGCCACCTTGGTAGGTAACGCCCTCCAGGACTTCACTAAGGAGGACCGGAGGAGGGCCAACGCAAGGGCTTGGGATTATCGTTGGAACGAGGGTCGATTAGAAAAACGGAAGACGGGCGGCATGGCGTTTGGATGATAGTACCGCACCCGTTCATGAGGTATGACTAGGTTAAGACGACGCATGAGGAAACAGCAGCCCATTTCGCCGTATGGATCACAGAAGCGGTGATCGAAAAAAATGAATGGTATTGGTCCAATATTCGCGACGATGTGAAATTCATCGTCCAGAACTGTCAGGTCTGCACCGCTGACAAGGCGCCGATTCAGCCACCAAGATCGATAGTATCGGCGGTAGCTAAACGACCTTTTCAAAGGATTAGTATGGACACTACTGATGTTGTGGTGCCCCCTGGACCTAATAGCTGTGAGTATTCCATCCTACTGGTGTTTGTAGACCATTTCTCGAAATGGATTGAGGCATATCCGTGTCGAACGCGACAGGAGGCTGAAATCGCGCGATACGTCAACCGGTTCCTCGGAATGCATAAGGATACGGAAGAAATCCTGACCGATAATGGGGTAGAATTCAGAGGGGAAGTTTTGAAGAACCTGGTCGTGCACGGCGTCGCCATTCGGAATACTGCACCCCACATGTCACAGTCTAACGGGCTGGTAGAAAACGCAAATCGGGTGATAAAGACAGCGCTACGACGAAACATCGCGGCACGGGACCCGAGGCCTTGGCCCGATATCATAGATCATATCCTGGCGGTCCATCGGGGAACACCCCACGAATCGACGGGCCTGAACACCTTTCAATTACGGACCAATAGTGTGGCCTGTGTTTCAATACCGAGCCTCCCGGATGAATCTTCATTGAACCGACGGCCCACGAGGGCCACGGTTTGAGACAAGGCCAAGCGGCACCTAGAACCGATGGAGCGGTCCCTTCCCCGATTAGCCCGAAAACGCCAATAGATGACCGAATTGGCCCAAGGCCGACAGGTCCGTAGCTACGAAGCCTGAAATGGGAATGCAGGACAACGGCCCCAGTATAAGTTAGGGGACATCGTGCAGGTAAGGAAATGTGCTCGCCAGGGTAAGGTAGCGCCACGATTCTTCGGGCGATTTCGCGTGGTCGAGCTTGGACCGAACGGCGTGAACACCGTGCAGCTTGTGCCTGAGGTTTCCGGCAGCCGATCAGCTCGACCGATCACTCGCCACGTGTCCTACCTAGGCCTCTCCCCTCCTCTCCATCCCCAGCTTCGTTTGTCTCCTCCTCCGCTGAGGAAGAGGACGACGACTGCTTATCGTCCGCTTATCCTCCTCTGTCTCACTCTTTCTTAGATACTCCGTCCCCATCATCATCGCCATGAGTTTTTTCACCGAAAGGGTTCTCGGCGAGCACATGCTGGCGCCACGTGGCGACATTTCGGCAATCCGGCAGGTCTGTCATCCGCGGATCAGTCCAGATCTTCTTCGGTTCGCACAGTTCTTCAGCACAACAGGGGTGTATGCAGCGGTGGAATTCCGTTTTACGACTCATCGTCAGGCACTCGTTCTTGCCGAAGCATCGGCTTATCTTCGGTTGTCCACGCCTGGAGTCAGCCACGTGTCGACCGTGGTCGTCTTCAGCGATGACATTAGCGTAGTAGATCCTCTACGACATACGGACATTCGGGCGGAGCTGCGGAAGTGGGGTCAGCAGTTGGCGGCAAAGTGGGATCAGTGGCTTACGCGGCACGGTGACAATCTCGTCGTCACCGACAGCATCGACGTCGAAGGGCTCCGTACGTCCCGATACGAGCCACCGGTGGCGTTTCCAGAACTCATCCCCTTTCAACGCCCTCAAAGAACCGATCCCAGCTATCTAGCTTTGCTCTCCCCTCTCTCTTCCCTACCTTCTGGCAATCTAGCCTTTGCCCCCGTCTCTCCTTTCGTCTGGAATCACTCGTTGTCCCCCTCCTCGATCGAAGACAGTGGGAACAGTGGTGCGAGCACTTCATCGATCTCTCGGTGTGTCTGGTCGGGGTGCAACTGACGTGGACGCGGGACATCGAGCACCGCGCCTGGATTGAATACGTGGAGCTGCTGATCGTCCAAGCCTGGAGGACGGAGGTGGAGGGGGACCTTCTCGGATT